GGATGTGATGTAGACCTAGGGACTGATTTCGAGTTTCGAAGAATTCTAGCATGCCTTTAACATAGTGAGCGTCAACATTGTTCGCGTTGAGGCAGTTTTGCACCAACTTTTGTTACCGATGAGCTAGAGCAAGCTTCTTCACCAAAGGTGAGAGGTTGAGATCCTTTGCAACAAAGAAGTTCTCAGAACTGAAACTGAGAATTTTGGATGTCATAATTGTGTTGAAGTAGTCGGTGGGGGAGGGGGGGGGTCATAGCCTACTTTGGAAACAATTATGAGATGCATGTCTTCGGGCATGAATTCAAGGGTGAGGGTATTATGTTGTTTTCGATTCATAAACTCATCGGAAAATGATCGAGGTTTTTTTTTAATTCTAAAGCTGTCCTTATTAGTTTATTTGTGTTCTGCACTTGTTTATATAGGACATTGGACACGGTGTTGATTGTAACGTCGTTTACGTTTTTAAATATAATTATTGGAAGCCATAATTTTGCGTTGAATTTCTTTGTTGTTTGATTGTTATTATTTATGTTGTACCGTTGCATGTATGCTGAGTGGTTTGATGTGTAATTTATGGTTATTAAAAATTAACCGACCGGAGTTCCTTATGATTTTGCTTGGTTTTAATACTTATAATATAATTTGAAAGGTAATTTATATGTTGGTATGGAATAAACCTTTTTTGGTTTGCTTGACATTAGATAAGTTTGTATTTGTTGCAAACGCTATAAATTTATGGAATAATTTTAAAATTATTTTGAGGGTTTGATTTACCTTTTTAGGTATTTATTATTATTATCTGAAATATCTAAATAGATGTGTCTGTAACGTGTCATTGAACGCAAAAAAAAACTTTAAATTGCTTTAATTTTGGTATTATAGATGATTTATGCCATTATTTGATGTGTTTCCATTTTAAGAACAAAAACTTTAAAAAAAATTTGGGCCTCTATCATACAAAATAGCCAGCCCAACAACAACCACAAAACCGACAAACAGAAAACCAATTGAAACCGAAACGGGAGAGATAAATTTTGTTTGGTCTATTTGGTTTAGGTTATTGCTGACATGGTTTTTTTTGCCCCCCTCACAAATGCTGATGTGGATGCATGAGAAGGGAGATAAGCCTACTTTATTGTATAAGATATGAAATCAGATTTATTTTTTGTTTGATTGTGTGTAAACTAATACTAGTTGACCCTTTTTTTTTTTTTTTTTTGTAACAACTAGTTGACCATTTAATAGCAATTATTAATTATTCTATAATAATAGCAAAATTAGAGTACAGAATTGTATCTGAAGCCAAATTCACTAGTGCAGGTATTATGGAGATAAACAACAAATGATTTTTTTTTGGTCAATAGAGATATATCGTTCCAAGACGACGACTCGGCTTTTACTTCTTTTCCAAAGAACTTTCAACACTCGTCATAATTTTTTGTTGGGGTAAAATTCTCTCGTCATATTTGCTTGTATTTTCAAACTATAAATTTAGTCGACTTACTTTAAGCTAATCTTAGTCGAGTTACTTTAAGCTATATTATACGTTTGGTATAAGAACATCTAAAAAGAAAGAAAAAAACATCTCAAAAGATACTCTATAACTTCAATTATAAATTATTTTTGTTTTCCAAAAATAAACTTTAAAATTTCAAATTAGGAATTTTGAGTAATGAAACTCTATATTTGAAGTTTACTACACAAAATTTCAAATTTAGTTAGGCTCGGTCTTGTGTGTCAAGTATGTTGAAACATTTGCTGCACGTTTCTTAAAATTTTGAAAAAAAAATATATGTATATAGGTTCTAGAAAAATATTTTTAGACCCCAAATTAGTTAAAAGAAAATTTTATCTGAATTTTTTAAAAATCGCATAGAATCCTAAAATCTCAAGACCGGCTCTGAATTTAGTGAAATTTCAAATTTGAAGTTTTATATTCTTATTTGCATTTTGGTACTTACAAGTACAAATCCTATTTATGATTCTTAAATATTTTGTTGTTTATCGTTTTAGTCCTTAAAATTTTTTTTTCGCATAAATATTTCAAAATTAATTTTGTAAATTTAAGCTTTACACATACAATTATTTTAATAACTACTAAGATAAGATTTAAAATATTTTAAAACTAGAATTAGACAACAAAATATTACAAAACTTAAAATGGTATTTTTTATAGTTTAATATTTAATTATATATTTCTGTTTATGATTTTATATTTTATTGTAATATTTATTAATTACTATTACTGTATATATGTTTTTAGTTATATATAAAAAGTTGTATGAATTTGAATTAGTTATGATATATAAAAGGACCATAATATAAAGTATAAATAATTTTAAAATTAAGTTGGAAGTATTGCTTTTGAAAAAAATATCTTTAGACTTCAAATATAAAATTTTGCAAACTTTAAAATAGGATTTTTTGGAGATGCTTTGAGAGTTACCTTTATTTTCAAGATTCCATAATTTTCTTAACAGACTTTATTTTTTTTTGGATGTAGCAGTTCTGTTATATATTTTTCTACAGTAACTATAAGTTGATAACTTTGAATAATGGTAGGTAGAAATAAAAAATTATGTTGATAACAGAAGATTTAACTATGAAAGTATTTGAACAGAAATTCAGAATTTTGTTTTTAAATATGGGTCAATGTATGATGTGTGTAACTAACTATAAGTAAGAAAGAACACTTATTTATTTAGTCATCTCTTAAATGCAAAACTCCATTAGAAAAGTAAGTTTTTTGTTTTTCTATTAATGATACATCTGATCTGACCAAAGGGAAAATGAATAGAGATACTTATCATATGAAGGATTCGATTAGTTTTCTGATTGAAGTCGACAAAAAAAAATTAAAAAAGATTAGTTTTCTGATTATGATTAATTAAGATTCTATGTGTTAAAAGCGCGTGTTTAGACGAATCAAGAATGTCTTTCGCATGTCCAACTTCGAATTCCAAAACGGAAAACAAGATAGAGCATTTGATTATTTTAATATCTAGTTCGTATATTATAATATTACATTTTTACTGTTTTTCAGCATCTTATGAGTTTTTTTTACATTACTATAATTGCACCAACTACTGATAAATATAAATGAAAATATTTATCACCGAATAAATAAGTAAAAATCTTTATTACCGAAAGTATTTATTTAAAGTTTCTCTTTTTTTTTTTGCAAAAACTTTTAATTCACCTTCTGCTCCAACACACACATATAGGTCTCCAAAATCTCTCCTCTCCGCCCCCTTTTAGATCCATTCCTCTCTCAAGGCGGCCCCTGTAAAACCCTTTTGATTTCTTCCTCTCTCCGTGTTTATGAAACTTCGTGCAAATTTTATCAGCTTTTACATTTGCTTTTGGTGTTTTAGTCCTCTCTCTCTTTCTCCAATCTCTTGAGTAGGAAAGGTACTTCTTTTACGCAGACACTAGTTCATGATTCTTGAGAATCTTTAGACCCTTTTATTCTCTACTCGAATCACTACTCTTCTTGATCTGGGGCACATTTTGTAAATTAAGGGGGAAAAAATCATTTTTTTTCTCTTTCTTTCTGGGTAACTCTAGGGTTCTTTTCATGTGGGCCACTTAATTAGCCTTGAGTTGATGAGTCTTAATTACTTCTAGTATAGCAATTGTTGAGTGAGATTAAGCAATGGGCTGTGTTTGGTGTAAGCCTTCTTCTTCTGCTATAGAAGACAGTAAAGATGAGCGTTTCTCAAACAAGTCTTCTTCTGAGCATAGAGTACTTTCAAGACCTGTTGCTTCTTCTAGAAGAGAAGAGCCCCTTAGGACAAAGGAACGCTCTGATGTTGTTAGTGTAAGACCAAAGCAAGCTAGTGTTTCGCGTGGGGAGAGTTTGAGTAGTAGAAGGGAGAAGAAGACAGAGAATGTTAACTTCCCAATGGGTATTACGATAGCTAAAGGAGTTGAAGCAGAGTATGTAGCTGCAGGCTGGCCTCCATGGTTGGCTTCTGTAGCTGGAGAAGCTATCAAAGGATGGATTCCGCGGCGTGCTGATTCTTTCGAGAAGCTGGACAAAGTAATCTTCTTCTTTATCTACACTGATCCTGATTGACATATCTTAAGCTCCCAAGATTCTGGTTGAAGTAAAACTGATTTATATTATGTTTTGCAGATTGGGCAGGGCACTTATAGTAATGTGTATAGAGCTCGAGACCTGGATCAGAAGAAGATTGTGGCGTTGAAGAAAGTTAGGTTTGATAACTTGGAGCCGGAAAGCGTGCGTTTTATGGCAAGAGAGATCCAGATATTGCGCCGCCTTGATCACCCTAACATCATAAAGCTAGAAGGCTTAGTCACATCAAGAATGTCTTGCAGCTTATATCTTGTTTTCGAGTACATGGAACATGATCTAGCTGGACTAGCCTCGCACCCCGCAGTTAAATTTTCTGAATCACAGGTACCTTTTTTGTTTGTTTTCAACTCCTTCATGGGTGCAAATGCAATTCTCAGAGTCTTGGCTTTTCTTTGTTCTTGTACAGGTTAAATGCTACTTGCAGCAACTGTTACGCGGACTAGACCATTGTCACACTCGTGGTGTACTTCATCGAGACATTAAAGGTTCAAACCTTCTAATAGATAATAGTGGAGTTCTAAAGATTGCTGATTTTGGCTTAGCTAGCTTCTTTGATCCTCGTCAAACTCAGCCTTTGACTAGCCGTGTGGTAACTCTTTGGTACCGTCCACCGGAGCTTTTGCTCGGAGCAACTCGCTACGGAGCAGCAGTTGATTTGTGGAGCACAGGTTGCATTCTTGCTGAACTATATGCAGGCAAGCCTATTATGCCTGGTAGAACCGAGGTAGATTGTTGTGAATCTCTTTTAAGTGTTTGCTCTGAGTTCGTTGAGACTAGTTCTTTAATGCTGCTTATGGTGGTGTTTACAGGTGGAACAGCTGCACAAGATTTTCAAGCTATGTGGCTCGCCTTCAGAGGACTATTGGGTAAAATCGAGGCTGCCTCATGCAACGATTTTCAAGCCTACACAGCCGTATAAACGCATAGTAGATGAAACATTCAAGGAGTTCCCTCAGCCAGCTTTAGCCCTTCTTGAAACTCTGCTTTCAGTCAATCCCGACGATCGTGGAACTGCCAACTCAGCTCTTCACAGTGAGGTAATCACAGTTCTGAGACAGTTAGCTACTACTCTCTGTTCTTGTGCTTCTATGCATAACTCCTTGTCACTTCAAATTATCATTCTTTCGTTCTCAGTTCTTTTCTACTAGACCTCTGCCATGTGATCCTTCAAGCTTGCCTAAATATCCTCCAAGCAAAGAGCTCGATGCGAGGATGCGGGATGAAGAAAGTAGAAGGTCTGAGATTACTTTTACTTTGCAAACTGTGCTAGATCTCATAGTGTTGTTGGAAAAACTTGAATCTTTCTTAATGTGTGTGTGTAGACAAGCTGGAGGAAACAAGGGTGACCAAAGACACCAAGAAAGAAGAGGAGCTAAGGAATCTCGAGCCATCCCTGCTCCTGATGCAAACGCAGAGCTGGTTGCATCAATGCAGGTATAATACTTATCATCTCTTTTGATGTTAAAGCTTCTTGCTTATACTCTCTCTCTCTCTCCCTTTACTTACAGAAGAGGCAGAGCCAGGCTAATAATAGAAGCCGAAGCGAGAAGTTTAATCCACATCCGGAAGAAGTTGCATCTGGTTTCCCAATCGATCCACCAAGATCATCATCACAAGCATTTGAACCAAACAGAGAATCTCAGGGAAACATGATTCCTCTTCACAAAAGAGCTTCACATTCAGGTCCTCTAACGCGTAGATCTGCTTCCGCAAAGGGAAGAAGGAACTACCAAGATCCTCAGAAAGTTTCATCCATAGCTGCTGATTACTCGGCAATGCCTGGTTTTGCTGCAACAAGAACAGGAGCATCACAACAAGAGACTTTCAGAGGAATGTCTCGGCTTCCAGGTTCCTTCAAGGAAACCTCCGAAGAAGCAAGCCAAGAAGAGAATGGTAGAAGCAACAAGAAAGACCCAATTCTTGTAAGTCCTCCAAAAGGCCATCCTTACTATTTTTAGTAACTAGCAAACCAACTTTTCTTGTGTTTTGTGGTTGCAGTTGGGTTATGGATCAAAAGGGCACAAGATTCATTACTCGGGACCTTTGGTGGTTCCATCAGGAAACATGGATCAGGTGCTAAAAGACCATGACCGCCATATCCAAGAAGCTGTGAGAAGAGCAAGAATCGATAAGGCTCGAGTTAGAAAACATCAAGCTGAAGAAGCATCGAGCCAACAAGTATATGATCAAACTCAAAAGTATCCATCATCTGTTTCTAGCCGTTGACCATCTCAGATGCAAAAGTATATGATCAAACCCAAAAAAAAAACTCATTTGCTTGAAACATTTTAACACGTCGTATTTTGAGTGAAAATAATGTAATTTTTATTGATTTGAGATTATATATCATAGAATCAAGTCTTGTCACGTTTTAGTCCCTGTAATGTCGTGTTACCTTATTATATGCGAGGTGTAGAACCAGGCTATATATAAATTATAACCTAGAAGAACAAAATCTATAAAATAATACAGTATTACTTATTAATTGATTTTTTTCCTGTTATAGTGATCGTTTCATTTTATGCTAGAAAATTAAATACACGTCTATCTTGGTTCTATTGCCGACACGCCTCTTCTTGTAGCTTCTTCTAGCGTACATCTTGACTAGGTGTCTTTCTTTATGTTTGGGTTATGGCCATGTGGCATAAAATATTTGTTTGTTGGTACTTAAGTAACCTAAGTTACTGCAATAACAACAACTCGAATATAGTATTGACCACCACCATCACTCGAGTCTAATGAATAATCCTCGACTGATTTGTATTATCAATCCTGAATTTTGTGTCACCTAATTAATAGTATGGTTAATATATCACTAATATACCTATAAATAGAAGACTAACTGAACATGTAGGTACTTCTAAGTATGCATATTATTATCTAATTGATGTTTTATTTTAATAAGCCATCATCATAATATACATATTTCAGTTTGTCCTGATTCACGACAACAAAATCGTTATTGGTCAAAATGAACGACAATGTCATATAAACTTTACATTAAATTACTTTTTTTTTTTTGTAAAATTAAATTTTCTTTAAATTACATTTTCACTCTATAAGAAAACAATGTTAAGACCTGAAAATGTTATATACATGTATTAACTATTATCATATAAATTGCTATATCTCTCTTGTTCAATACAAATTGTCAAAAAGCAAGATCATTTTCCTCTATTTTAGAATTCCAGATAAATTGAATTGGTGCAAAACTAATAACCATACCGTTAACATGAAATAAAGTAGGATAACCAACAAAAATAATATTTATAACTATTTAAACAATACGAACATAGTTTTATTATTACTCACTAACAAAAAGAATTTGGAATCAAGCCCCCTATGATAAATGGATTGAAAAAAGTAGACCTACTAAATTTCATTTTAATATGTATTGGTTGTCCTGGTTCCATCACAATCTTTTTTTTTATCTTGAAATATTTATCATCATATCGATAAAATAAACAACATAACCATAAGGAATGAATATTTTCTTGGATTTTCTTCCCATGTTAGCATATCAAACATAAAATAGTGTCATGAGTTTTTAAACGATAATAAAAATATTATAAATTATAATATATATATATATATATATATATATATATATATATATATATTAATAGTTAAGTTCAACAATTTGCGTTAACATCAACGAAAATCAATTTAATTTGTTACAACCCAAGAGATGTTAATTCGAATTACCATTTTTGAGTAGCTTAATTTAATAGGCTGAAAGTATTTTGAGTAGTTTAGTTTGATACGCTGAGAGTTTTGTAAGTTTTTAGAATATAATTATATGTGGAACTGAATCACATTTGATTTATCAATTATTCTATATATTTGATAAAAAAAGAAAAAAAATTAAGATAAACAAGGATATGAGTAACTTAGAAATTGTTTATAGTTATTGTATAGTACGCCACTTATATCCAGAGCCGTGCGAAGATTATTTGATGCCTTAAACGAACTAAAAAATGATAATTAATAAAAATATTTTTTGAATAAATAACTTTTAGATAATATTTGAGAAAAGGAAACACTTTAAGTATGATTTTGTGTTTAATATAAAATATAAAAATGCAACATACAAAAGTCTTCTATATACATAATTTATGTTACATTTATAAACTAAACACTAATAAAAATATAAACTACTAATTATATAAACATAGAGTTTGAAGAGAAAGTAATTATTTTTGTTGTCAACTAAATTAAAAAGTAATTATTGTGATAAAAGAAAAGAAGATATGAAGGGTGTGACTGGTAACCATAATAGGAACAACAAGAATGGACAGAAAAATAATGAGTAGGAATAAAATTTTAGGAAAGGAGAGGAATAATAATTCCTTATCAAAATCAATAAGGAATGAAGTTGTTCTATAATTCTTTACAACCAAAGGAATGAGGAGGAATGGGAAAACAATCTATTCCTCATGAATGGTGAATTTTTTAAGGAATGTTAAGTAGTGTAGTGTTCCTCTTCATTCCCTTGGTCACCATTCACACCCGAATAGATACAAAAAGTTAGAAGGATATCCTTGTAGTTAATGTGTAAATTATGGAAGTAAAATATTGTTAGTGATTTACTGATATACATAATCAAGCTGAAACATAATGGAAATATATATACCTTATTAAATTTTCACTAAAATTATTTCTGGCACGGCCCTGCTTATATCATATGATGTTTCAAAACCAATCAAATTATAATGCTTCCATTTTTTTTGTCAACTGGTTTCATTAACATGGAGGATATGAAGTCTTTTTAGCCAATAAGAATATGTCCTTTTGTCACGTCACAATGCTTATTGAGACTCTGTATTTTTCTAAGCTTAAATTTTTTGTTAAAGCCCAATTTATCTATTGGAAATCTGATTCTGAAAAACTTCGTCTTCTCCACTTCAGCTTCCTCTCCTCTCTGCTACCTCTCCTCCTCTCTAATAAGACTGAGCTTTTATTTTTTCTTGATGATTTTTTTTCACCTCCTCTTCTTTCCCATTCTTTATATACTGCTACTTCTTTTCTTTCTACACATCAAAATCAGCAACCTCCTCTGATTAAGCTCAAACCATGTGTTGGAATTCATACCAGTTTATAACGCTTTATAAAACAACCTATGAATTCTATTTGCCTAGAATCTCATGCAAATACTGAAATAATCTAGATCTTTAGGTTCTTCGAATATACCTGGTTATTCTGCAGTGGAAAGATGAATGAACCAAGTCGAGATTTCAAGCACTCCAAACGTCGTACCTCTACCGGTATCCACACGCACACAAACTGGATCAATACGGGATGCTAGTGCCGTCGAGATAAAATCTCAGAAAAAGAACTTCACAAACTCTTTTATCTTTTTAGGGTTTTGTATTGGACGGCCACATTTTTTCTTATGTCAACACAAGTCACGTTAGTTCCATATATATATTAATATGAATGTAATCTAATTCTAATCTCATTAGAATAGAGCCCATTTACATTAATCACTTAGCCCACATGCAACCATTGCACATTACGTGCATATGTGAATTATATAATATTACATTTATATTATATATCATATATATAACATAAATTAATATATAAAACCCCAAAATATTTATGATCCAATTTGTTTAGGTGTGTGACCCTGTAGGATCATATAATATTAGCAATGAATTCTCAATTCATAGATTATAAGCGGTTTCTAGCAAAACATTATAACCACCCAATATTATATGATTGTCGAACCTCGACGTTACGACTTTCACAAGAGTAAATACAAATGATTTTAGGACATTCCCAACAATCTCCCACTTGTACTAGAATCATCTATTCTTATAATCTTTTGTCTCTATATCTCGATCTCAGCGTAAGGCAAGAACTAGTGTCATCCTTATTAAGCTAGATCATGTTTATCGAACTCTGATTTATACTGATAAAACAAACGACTGACATTCACCTCGTTTGAGCATGGCCATGCATTTCTCAGTATCAAATCTTCGATAGGCCCAGAGATATTTATCTCCCGTTATATGGGAGGGACAAATCCCATCTTGTTCCATCTATGTTCTTTACAAACTTCATAGAACACCTAATCAATTCCTTTATAATCACCAGTTACGGGTGACGTTTGACAAGGTCAAAGTGAACTAATCCATCAATAAAGAATCATGACGAACTCAAGTCTAAGGACTATACTCTATAGTCGTAATGAGAAACTCTTATGACACTCATATAACAATCTTGTAGAGTTCTCATAGCGGGTCAGCCCGATCATGTGTTCCCTAACACATATCCATGTGATTGACTTCAATACCACATATTGAATGACTCCATGAAACTTAGTCATCATTCACCTCACATACTAGCCATTCATGGTTATTAATGTCCCACATTAACAACCTTGACTAGGGACCTCAATAATTTATAACATCTTTCACTTATAGGGTTTCATGATCAAGTCACGCACTTGATGGCGTATAAGAATAATATAAATTATTTTGGGACATTTATTTAATTATCCAATAATCAAATAAATCTGAAACAATTTCATTAGTTTGAGTACATATTCAAATGTATGTCAATATGAACATCATATCATAAATGTAAAATCTCCCACTAAAATCAAGATCACATCTTAATATACTTAATGACCACAACTGCAGCATGACTCTCATGCTTATGCTATGGAAGAGGCTTGGTCAATGGATCAACAACATTTGCATCCGTTGAGACTCTGTTAGGGTACCTTGCTTGGAACTCTTCCAACACACCGTTCAACAAGTTCATCACTTCCTCCACAAATTAAACTTATCCTTAGTATTTCTGAAATACTCGAGGATAGTCTACACAAGTATCTTGACATAATCCAATGGTCTTATTTAATCTATCTCTATAGATTCTTATTCCAAAAATAACTTTCTACGTTTCTCGAACTTCTTCGAGCTTTACTTTACTCCCACTGTTTTTCTTAGAAAGAAATTCTCCTTCTAGAGATCATCACTATGAATAACAAAAACTTTGTTCTCAGTGGGGTTTTAAAATAAACACAGATTTTTCTAAAGTGTATCCCCAAAAGGATAATGGAAGATCTGTATGACTCATCATTGACCAAACAATATCTAATAAAGTTTGGTTTCTCCTTTCATATACACACCATTCGACTGTCGTGTTCCCAGAGAAGTGAGTTGTGAAACAATTCCACAATTTCTAAGATGATCATTAAACGTTTAACTAAAATATTTCTACTTCGATCAGATCGAATAGCTTTAATTTTCTTGTCAAGTTTATTTTGTACTTTATTCTGAATTTTTTTTTTGAACTTTTTCAAAAGATTCAGACTTATGTTTTTTAGATAAACATAACCATGAAGTACTGATAGTTTCCTTTAACATTTATACTCATTGGTCCACATACATCAGTATGTATAATTTCAACAAGTCTTTTATCTCTTTCACTATGTCCATTAAGAGAAGCCTTAGTCATTTTACCCTAA